TTTTCCTCTAGACACTGCTTTAAATGTGTCCCATAGATTTTAGTATGTTGTGTCTTTGTTCTAGTTAGTTTCAAAGAACATTTTTATTTCTGCCTTCATTTCATTGTTTATCCATCAGTCATTCAGGAGCAAGCTGTTCAGTTTCCATGTGATTGTGCAGTTTTGAGTGCTTCTTAATCCTAAATTCTAATTTCACTGCATTGTGGTCTGAGAGACCATTTGCTATGATTTCCGTTCTTTTGCATTTGCTGAGGAGTGATTTACTTTCAATTATGTGGTCAATTTTAGAGTGTGATGTAGTACTGAGAAGAATGTGTATTCTGGGGATTTGGGGTGGAACGTCCTGTAAATGTCTATAGGGTCTGCTTGGTCCAGATCTGTGTTCAAGTCCTGGATATCCTTATTGACTCTCTGTCTCATTGATCTGTCCAATATTTTCGAGGGAGTGTTAAAGTCTCCCACTATTATTGTGCAGGAGTCTCTTTGTAAGTCGTTAAGAACTTGCTTTATGTATCTGGGTGCTCCTGCATTGGGTGCATATATATTTAGGATAGTTAGCTCTTCTTGTTGCATTGATCCTTTTACCATTATGTAAATCCCTTCTTTGTCTCTTTTGATGTTTGTTGGTTAAAAGTCCGTTTTACCAGAGACTAGAATTGCTACCCCTGCTTTTTTTTGCTCTCCATTTGCTTGTTAGATCTTCTTCCATCCCTTTATTTTGAGTCTATGTGAATCTTTGCATGTGATATGTGGGTCTCCTGAATACTGCACACCTTTGGGTCTTGACTTTTTATCCAATTCACCAGTCTGTGTCTTTTGATTGGGGCATTTAGGCCATTTACATTCAACATTAATATTGTTATGTTTGAATTTGATTCTGCCATTTTGTTACTGGCTGGTTGTTTTGCCTGTTAGTTGATGTGGTTTCTTCACTGTGTTGTTGTTCTTTACGATTTGGTACATTTTTGCAGTGGCTGGTACTGGTTGTTCCTTTCCATGTTTAGTACTTCCTTCAGGAGTTCTTGTAAGGCAGGTCTTGTAGCGACAAAATCTCTCAGCAATTGCTTGTCCATAAAGGATTTTATTTCTCCTTCACTTATGAAGCTTAGTTTGGCTGGATATGAAATTCTGGGTTGAAAGTTCTTTTCTTTAAGGATGTCGAATATTGGCCCCCACTCCCTTCTGGCTTGTAGGGTTTCTGCTGAGAGATTCGCTGTGAGTCTGATGGTCTCTCCTTTGTGGGAGACTTGACCTTTCTTTCTGGCTGCTCTTAGGATTTTTTCCTTCATTTCAACCCTGGTGAATCTGCCAATTCTGTCCCTTGGGGTTGTTCTTCTTGAGGAATATCTTTGTGATGTTCTCTGTATTTCCTGGATTTGAATGGTGGCCTGCTTTGTTAGGTTGGGGAAGTTCTCTTGGATTATATCCTGAAGAGTGTTTTCCAACTTGGATTAATTCTCTCCATCACAGTCAGGTATGCTGATCAAGCGTAGATTAGGTCTTTTCACATAATCCCATAGTCCTTGGAGGCTTTGTTCATTTCTTTTTTTTCTTTTTTTTTTTTTTTTTTTTTTTTGAGATGGAGTTTCGCTCTTGTTACCCAGGCTGGAGTGTAATGGTGCGATCTTGGCTCACCGCAACCTCTGCCTCCTGGGTTCAGGCAATTCTCCTGCCTCAGCCTCCTGAGTAGCTGGGATTACAGGCAAGCGCCACCATGCCCAGCTGATTTTTTGTATTTTTAGTAGAGACTGGGTTTCACCATGTTGACCAGGAATGGTCTCGATCTCTTGACCTCGTGATCCACCTGCCTCAGCCTCCGAAAGTGCTGGGATTACAGACATGAGCCACCACGCCTGGCCTGTTCGTTTCTTTTCACTCTTTTTTCTCTAATCTTGCCTTCTCATTTTATTTCATTGATTTGATCTTCTATCTCTGTTATCTTTTCTTCTGCTTGATCGATTCAGCTGTTGAAACTTGTACATGACTTACAAAGTTCTCATGCTGTGTTTTTCAGCTCCATCAAGTCATCTATGTTCTTCTCTAAGCTGGTTATTCTATTTAGCATTTCGTCTAACCTTTTTTCAAGGTTCTTAGTTTCTTTGCATTGGGTTAAAACATGGTCTTTTAACTTAGAGAAGCTTGTTATTATCCACCTTCTGAAGCCTGCTTCTGTCAATCGTCAAACTCATTTTCTGTCTTGTTTTGTTTCCTTGTTGGTGAGGAGTTGTGATCCCTAGCAGGGGAAGAGGCGTTCTGTTCTTTGATGGCTTCATCCTTTTTGTGCTGTTTTATTTCCATCTTTGTAGATTTATCTCCCTTTGATCTTTGAAATTGGTGATTTCAGGAGAAATATCTGAGTGGAGGTCCTTTCTGTTGAGGTTGGAGCTATATCTTTTTTGGCCTGTAGAGGGGCTGCTGGGCTGCCTCAGATTCAGTCAGGTTGCTGGGTGGGTGGTCTTCCCCTGGGGTTTGTTTGCAGGTGAAATTAGCCCTGCCTTCCCAATGGCATCTCTCCCTCCCTTAGCTGGATCATCTTGGTTGGGTCAAACTGGTGTATTTGCTGCCAAGCTCTCTGGTGCGCAGGCTTCAGCTTGAGTTTTGTCGGGGAGGGGCCTGCTAGGCCTTATGACTTGTTTCCCGGCTTTCAACTCTGCCTCCTTCTGTGGAATGGGCTGTTCCATCCCGCTGGAGTCAGTCAAAACTTCCACCCAGGCTCTGCTGACAACTTACAGCACCAGGCGGGAGCCATTGCTCAGATTTGCATGGACAACCTACTGCACCCCTCAATTTGGTGGGGCTCTTGTGGACCATGGGTTGCAGGAGGGATGAGGTAAGCACAGGATCCGAATTGGAGCACCGAAGGGGTGAAGTCCCCTGACCTTCTGAGCTGGCTGCAGGTTCCATGTGTAGACGTGCCCCACCCTGTCTTGGTTCATTTTCCCTGGGTGGCTCTTCTCCTGCTTTTGCTCCTACCCTGGGCTATTTTCAGAGTCCTTCCAGTCCCGCCGAAATGAACCTGGCACCTGACTTGGAATCATGAAGTCCTCTAGCCCTCTGCATCTCATTTGCTGGGAGCTGCATTCTGGTGTTGCCTCCTCTCGGCTACCTTGGTGCTGCCTCCCCCTTCTCTGTTTTTAACTGAAAATGGAATTTGAATTTTACTCTCTTCTTCACACCCTACATTTATTTGTTCATCTAAGTGCATAAGCATTTCACTATAAAGACTCAAATCCACTGGGGACGAAGAACAAACAGTAATAGTTTACATTTATTGAGCATTCACTACATACCTGTCATTATTCTGAATGCTTACTGTAGATTATTTAATCCTCACAAGCACACTATGAGGCAGGTATTATTGTTATAGCCACTTTTCAAACGTGGAAGGTGAGACACACAGCAGTTAAATAACTTGCCTAGGCTCAGACTCCTGCTAAATCTTAGAGCCAGGATTAAAACCAATGTAGTCTGACTTCAGAACCTGTGCCCTGAACCACAAAACTATGCTGTCTCTCTAAGTATGAAGAGTGTCTATACTTATGTTTGCCCTTCTGTTTCCTTTCATTATTCATTTTTTATCAACAGACATTTGTAGAGTGTCAAGTGCTGGTGGCGAGAAGCTGAATAAGACTGGTTTTCCTTTCAAGCAGGAACATGGGAGGTCTACAGAACAGGGGAGAGGTAGATCCCGGCAATATGTGTGAAATGCACAATAGGAGGTAGGAATAAATTGCTCTAAAAACACAGAGCAGGAAGTGACTTTTCAGTGAAGTTTTTGGAAAAAACTTCTTGGAGGTGGTCACAGTTAAGCTTGTCAAATGGCAGGTACTTAATAGCTCTTTGGAATGAATGGCAATAGAAGTTCATCAAGCAGAGAAAATGATGATAAATAAAAGAAACACCAGGGGCAGATGGTGGCTTTTGACTTTGCTCCCCATTTTGAGACCCCATTTGTGTATAGCAGGTGGGCAGCAGAATGGGAATTCCTGAGATTTAACTCTTGTGAAATACCCAGGTCCTTGTGAGCTGGAGTCAGGACCTAGATGTGGCTGAGAGTCCAGCTCACCAGTGGAGGGGAGAAAAGGTTTCCTTTCTTCCCACATCCATGGCTAGGTTCATGGTTAAGATGCCGCTATAACAGAGGATAGATTAACAAGAGAAAAGCATACAAATGTATTATTATAAGTTTTACATGAACCGGGAGCCTTTGGAAATGAAGACCCAAAGAAAGAGAAGCTTGTTTATTTTTATGGTTGGGTTGATGAAGAGTCATGGAGAAATATGATTGGAGGACAAAAAGGCGTGATATGATGGTAACAAACTAGGGGAACTTAACAAGGCCTGCTTGTTCAGATCCTTCCTGGCCTTTGAGGATAAGGATGTTTCTTTCCTCTAGGTATAGGGAAGGCATCTCTTGAATGAGGATCTTATGGCCTCTTTCAGGTGGTCAGAAAATTCTGTCTAGGTTTTATAGCCTGTTTAAGGGGAGAAGGGCAGGAGAAGGTCAGAGAGTATCCTTATTGCTTCTGCTGTTTTCTATAATGGCAAAGGGCCATATTTTGGAGCAGCCTGTCCTGAACTCCAACAGCAAGGGCAGAACAAGGCAGAGTGATAGCCTGGTCAGGAAGCGAATGAAGAGTGATAGCCTGGTCAGGAAGTGAATTAATGGGACTCACAGCCATGCTGAGTCTCTAGTGACACCAGGAGCTCAGGTGAGGCTAAATCAGCCAGGAGCCCCCAAGGGCCCAAAGAGGAAGGTCAGGAGTAGGACGAAGACCTCACTAGTCATAGAACAGAGATAGGAGGGACATTTTCTCTGCATATGCCAGTTATAACAGTTGGATTTGCACCTGCATTACTTCTAGAGACTCCAACATTGTGAGAAAACCAATCCTTTCAGAATGTGGAAGACTTGTCAATTGGACCTGCCAAATCCACCTGTATACTTTGCTTTAGTATCAGAAATGATTCCATTTTGTTTTATTTTCTCTCTCCCTAAGGACCAAGATGGATTTCCAGACTGGATGTGTTGGTGGGAATACTACCCAGTGATCGGGGAAGAACCACATACCCTTCCAACCTTGCATCAGCAATCCCATGAGGCTCCCCATGAGTCACTGCCAGCGGCCCAGACTCAGCTGTGTGGAGTCTCAGACCCTGGGGCAAAACAAGCTAAGTGCATGGATCTTTCCTGTCTGTGTTCTCAGTGACTCACCCAAAACGGATAATGACAGTGAGGCTGGGTGCACCGTGTGACTGGTGCCAGCCAGAACAGGTCATGCTGTTAACCCTTGGATTCCCAGGCCACCAACTGCTGACTCCCAGGCCCTATGGCAGGACCATGACACACTTGAGTTATGTCTCCTTCCTTTCTCTCTGGGATCCTTGGTCAAGTTCCAGCTTTGGAAATATGACCTTCCCTTGTAAAGGATCTCAAACTTGGGGTGGTTACTGATAGTGACTGAACCAATAACTACTACCCGGGAGGGGCCCATTGTCCTAAAACACCACCAGATCACAAGTGGCGTTTTCACTCATCAAATTGGCTGTTCTTCAGTTTGCCAAGGTGCAGGTGCTGACTTCTTTCCCAGTTCTTTCCCCATCAGTTGGGTTATTCCCAAAGTCTGGGGGAAGAAAGAGAAAGGAGAAATTTAAGAATGGAAGAGATGATTTCTCCCATCTCAGGCAAGCAGACTGTGCGCTCACTGAGTATCTTAAGTATTTGTGGCCAGGGTCCTAGGCAGGACCCATAACATGTCAGCATGTGACTTAAAGGCTTGGTGACAGAACAAGGATCCACCCAGCTCAGCTGCCCTGCCAGCGTGTCCTCATTGCCTCGCCAGCTTCAGATCACTCCCCAGGGATGCTGCATTAATTATGAAAACCTCTGGTCAAGGCTGAAAGCCTGCAGGATATGTTCTGTTACCTCATCACTTACATGCGATAGTCCAGAGGTCTCTAAGACTCTCCAAAATATTATGATGATGCAACATTTACCCCATAATATGTGATAGAGCTTAACTCAAAATTTAAGTGATCCTTTGCTGGCCCTTAATGAGGTTAAAGTAAAAAAAAAAAAAAAAAAATGAGCGGAGGCTGAGCAGTGATTCAAGTGCTGTGAGCTGCTGATTCTTCAAGTTACACGTTACTCCAGGTCTTGGGGCAGTGGGTATGTGTGTGTGTGTGTGTGTGTGTGTGTGTGTGTGTGTGAGAGAGAGAGAGAGAGAGAGAGAGAGTGGGAGACTGGGCGGGAGACTGGAGTAGGGAAAGGGATGGGACGTGTTGCTATGGAGAGAGAGCGGTGAAACACGCAGTATGACCGAGAAGACAATCATGTGGTCAGATGGTCGAGGAGCTGAGTCTCAGCTCTGACATTCCACCCAGGTGGCTTTAGCAATTTGTGAGTCTTCTCTCCTTCACCTATAAAGTGCGATAATGAAGGTAAATTTGCTAAGTGAGGAGATAATATGTGTAACTGCCTAGGAGAGTCCTCATCACATAGCAGATCATCAGTAAAGGTCCAAAGCAATGACTGACAACTAGGTGGGAAGTGAATGAGCAAGCCAGGCCAGAAAATTTTATGAACAATGAAATCTGCAGCTCAAAGTTCCATGTATTTCTCAATAGGAAAACATCTGTATCCCATTTGATGGTGCACAAACACTTTCACTTATGTTACCTCATTCTTCCTTTCAGAAACCCTCTGAGGAAGTTATTGTAGTGATGAGGAAACCGAGGCCCAAGGCCACACAGCTGGCAAGCCTGGAACTGGACCCCAAGTCCTATGCATCCTTATGATCCTTATGCTACCCCATGAGGGAGCAGCTGCAAATCATGAACACTTGTCTATCATGCAGCATTTGTCCTGGCCCCCTCCGGACCGTGTGCCTTTTCTGGTGTTACCTGTCTCTCCTGTCCTTGCCATAGGTTACCCAGACTTGGTATCAGTCACCAATGTGTCTGCGTAAGAAAAAGTTTAAATCAATAGTGTGTGGCAAATGTTGCAAAACTGTTTTCACAGAAAATAAAATATTTGTTTAGATACAAGTTAATGCTTCCCAGGATTAGCAGCAGTTAAAATTCTAGGAGACCACAGTCTGTTTTCCCCAAGCAGGACACTGATAATGATCACTGGGAAGAAGCTCCTGGGCTACAGCCCAACTTGAAAACTGCAAAATCACAACAGCAGAATTCCTGGGGTTTGTACTATAATTCTGGATATATTTACTTGCCATATTTTTTACACTTAATCCAGTCTTTTTCTCTTTCTCTCTCGTACACTGGCATTTTTCTTCTTAATACTATTTGAGGTGAGAAAAGTTGTAAGAAAATAAAGTTGGAGTCTTGGTTCTTCCCATCCTTAAATGTGTAATAATAACAACAATAAAAATAACAACACTAATAACAACAGCAACACTAATAGCCATAGCAACACCAACAATCGATAAAAGACTCTAGGCAATGATTGAAGTGATAATATTGCAGAGATAAGCCAGTATGCAAACACCAACTATAAGAAGAAAAAAACTGAGGAGAATAAAATACAAACCAATCCATAAAGTAAATTAGACATTGATTTTTAGAATACCCTTTACTTTCAAGTTTTGATTTCAGGCCTTGGTTATTTTTACTCCGTTTTAGATAAAAGACACCTTTTTATCTATTTTAGATAAAATTCTGGATTTGAGATGAGTGAGAAAAGGAAAACAGATTTACGCACACACAAACACACACAAACACACAGTCCTTAACTCTGCTCATCTCCATCCCTAACCACATCTACCTCACAAGGCTGGTGGTGTCAATTCTTTTTCTTTTTTTTTTTTTTTACATAAATACAAAGACTGTGCATAGATCCTGGGCTGTAGAGCACCACAAGAACCCCCACTCATGCAGCTTGGAGGGGCCTGGAGCCTGAGAAGCAGGGAGATCGGAGACTGGAAGAAAAGGCAACCAATGAAGAAAGGAAGGTAGTTCAGATGATTTTTTAAAATTGCACACTCACTAACTCCTCCAGAAGAAGAGAAAGTAGAGTGAGAAGCCTGGGGCTCAGGAAGGAGAAGAAAGAGAAAAACCTCCCAACCAGCAAATGCATATATTTCTCCCCTTTTTGTTCTTTTCTAAATCTGGTTGCAGTAAAGAAAGCCCAAGGTATAGTTACTAAGACGTAAGATATGACCCAAATGTGGAAATCTTCCCTTCATCAAAAACCAGGTAAGCATAATAATAATAAAAAACAAAGCACTTAGAGGTTATGGGAAGAAAGTATTTCTGCTTTCAAAACTATGATTGAAGAACTTTATTTGAAAAACAGAGCTTTTTAATTATACTTTGTTTATGACATTTGATTTATTATACTTTATTATACATATTATACTTATGCTAGATTGCAGGCAGTCAGAGCCAGTGTCCCCCGCAATCCTGAACGCAAACTATGTTCACATTGAAAGCATTACACACCATGGATACGCAGACACACATACACACATGTATACACACATACATCCAGCCATTCTTTGAAATCCAGCTCTTATCGCTCCACATCCTTTTTGAACACTTCCTGGGTTTTCAGCCTATGTCACAATGAGAATTGTACCATGTTATTTGATTATTTGTGAGTCAGTTACTTCTCTGGACTTATTATAGATTCTGAGCACCTCGAAGGCAAAAATCCCTTTGCACTCCTTGTCTCGCCTTTCTGTCTACTTCCCTCTACTCATCGTTACACAAGTTGAGAACCTCGTGTGTGATGTAATTGCTTTGTAATTGTACAGGCTATAATAGAGACATCAGCACTTAGCTTCATCTTCCTCTGACAGTAGGCAAACTCTGTGACAAGTTCTTTTACTACCTTTTTATTTTTATTTTTGTTTTACCAAATGCATCTCCTTAAAGGCAGTCCTTCAGGATACTTCAAAGAAATCCCTGAGTACAATTTACAAAAGTTTGCACCCTGCCCACCCTCACCCACCAATGCGACACAACCCAGCAAATGCAACTTCTCCCCAAGTATTAACACTCAGAGAAGACAGGGATGGGATTTAATTCTCCCTTCAGTCATCTGGGGTGGAGATCTGGCCCCTGTGGCTTTCATGGTGACTGCCACCTGCAACCTAACCATGAGGGGCACATAGGAGAGGGTGGCTTTTTTGGGGGGAGGCCACTGTTCAAAAGCCTCCGCTATACCCTTTGTGTCTCTGCTGTGTTGCCTGCCAGCAGCAATGTCTGATGCCTCCATTTGGCAGCCACAGGCTGTGAGGTCATCTTTTCACCACTTGCTATTTCCTTCAGCATTTAAACTCTCTGGCAGTGACTCAGTGTTTACAATCACATTAACCTGTGAGGAACGCCGTGGCTGTGTCGAAGAACAAGGCCCTTGCTGGCACCAAGGTAAGTGTGGACATGTTCTTGGGAAGAGGAGAGGGGAGGGGGCAGGGAGCCAGGCGCAGTGTGGTGGGATACCTGTGTGTGGGGAGCTCTCTTCCGTTCTTGGCAGGACATCCAGTTCTGAAAGAAGGCGAATGACCCGTCATGCTCAGTCTAGTTTGTGCTGATGCTTGGAGAAGAATGACCCATTGCTGTCTTGTTCACAGGCCAGAGTGAGCAAATCCCCCATGCAGCCAATACATATGCGTAAGGCAGGCGCAATGACATCCATGCAAGAGGAGCATCTCGGGTAACGTTACCCCTTAGGGGCCCAAATAAAATATACATGCTGAAAATCAATCTCTCTCCTCGAGTGGGAAAAAGCAAGAGAAAGTGCTTTCTGCTGTGGAGGTGAAGACATACGGGAAGGATAGGCCTGAACAACTACAAGGAGTCCTTCGAACTCCAGAGATGGATGGTTGTCAGCAAAATGTTCTAACAGTTTCTAAGTACAGTGAGCTCACAAATTTAATTCCCAACATGACTCAAACGTGCACGCACATGAGACACACTCTTCGGTTCGTCTATAAAAACGATGGTTTGTTTCCTGAGGGTTCACCGACTGGTTGGAGTGGGGGAATAATTTAGAGCCCCACCAATTTCAAGCCTAGTTGCATCTGATCATTTAAACAGCCTGTTTAGTGAATGTTTAGCCAAGGTCAAATGCTGGGCTTTCACATACCTCTGCCTTCTGCCTCCCTTCCAGGGAGGTGGTATCTTTAGAACTGGTATCTAGGTAAATGATGCTACCTTGTGGGAGAGGGGAGGACTATGGGTCCTCCAGCTTCTTTGGTTCCTAGACAACTCTAGGTCTAGATGGTTGCTCACTCTGCTGTCATTTGTGCACATGTATTAGGCTGAAGTTATTCAGTCAGCCCCTAGGGACTATTTTTGGGCCCTGACTATGATACATAGCAACCAAGGATAGCACCAGAAATCTAAGCTTCAAGGCTTCCAGCAACCAGACCATGCAGTATACCCACGCTGACTTTGATGGGCCTGCACCCAGGGAAGGATGAATCTGCCTTCTCTCAGGGTGTGTATAGGGAGTGAACCAAGAGCCTCCCAATCTTAAACATTCTAGAGTGCAAGTTTAATTCTAAAGGTGAAAACTCAGAGTGACAATGTGATCATCTAGTCCAATGGTATTTGAATAAAATTTAGTAGACACTTTACAAAAATTGAATTTGGAAGCCAGTATGACAGATAAAAGTAGTTTCCTTTCTATTTATCAAGACCTATAGGGAGGGATGAGAACTTTACCCAATGTGAGCTCCAGGGCTTCACAGATATTTTTCCATGGAAATTTCCCATCTTTTCCAAACTCATTATCTCCTAGATGAAGAAGCTAGGACATAATTAATTGAAGTAAATTGTCACAGACATTGCAAATGGGAGACCCTAGACCCAAAATTTTTTCCCAGACTTTCTACTACATTATTCATTTAACGTCCCCCAAAGTTTAACTTGATCACGAGGACTAGATGCTGCTAATAATGTTCAGTTGCAAACCCACATTTTGATGCCCCCAAAGTCAATGGCTTCTATTGGCAAAAAAACAATTTATTATCAGAAATAAGTCACTCTAACAGCCATACTTAAGTGCATAAAGAGTGAAAAATTCTAACATGTTTCATTCTGAGTAGTCTTTACTTAACAACTTCCTTATGTCTAGCCCTAATGATACATCCCAACAATGTCTCTGTCTAACATATAGTCATGTTAAAGTCACAGAAACACAAGCAGACATTCCCTGCTCAGCACTGTCTACTCTTTTTACTGTTGAGCTTGGGTCTATTCTAATTAATGTACTATTAAGAAACAGATGAGGCTGGGCGCAGTGGCTCACACTTGTAATCCCAGCACTTTGGGAGGCCGAGGCGGGCAAATCACCTGAGTTTGGGAGCTCGAGACCAGCCTGGCCAATATAGTGAAATTCTGTCTCTACTAAAAATACAGAAACTAGCTGGGTATGGTGGCGCACGTCTGTAATCCCAGCCATTCGGGAGCTGAGGTAGGAGAATCGCTTGAACCTGAGAGGTGGAAGTTGCAGCAAGCCGAGATAGAGCCCACTGCACTCTAACCTGGGTGACTGAGTGAGACTCCATCTCAAAAACAAACAAACAAAAAAGAAATAGATAAATAAACCTCAGTTTGTTAGTGAACTGTTTTACATACTTGCTGAAGAATACAATTTAGTAGACACTTTACAAAAATTGAATTTGGAAGCTAGTATGACAGACAGATAAAAGTAGGTTCCTTTCTACTTAACAAGACCCATAGGGAGGAACGAGAACTTTGCCCAATGTGGGCAAAGTTCCTCTGTTCTATAAAAAAGCTATAAATAAGAACTACAAATAAGAACTTCGCTTATTTGGGATTTATGGAACAGAGGAGCAAGTAAATGATTTTAGGCCATGATTAGAATGCCAACAGAAAGAATACAAGAAGAAACATATTTCAAGGAGGCACTGAAAATAAATGTGTCAGGCACTTTTAGCCCCATGTCAAGACAACTGGCATTCAGATCTTCAAAACCTCAGCCAATGTTTCCTGGGAGAAATGTGAATTTTACTGCATGGCTGATGACTTATAAACACACTTTGTTGCTGGGCAAGTTCAGGCAATTACTGAGCAATTATACCAGCAAACTACCTAGTAATTAAAAGATGGACTCTTGTGTGGGCTGCCATTTGGGCAGCAGTAGCTGCATTCTAACTTCGTTGACATGATCACATACTTTTGAGAAGACCAAATGCCTTCAGGAGCCAGTAGATAGATGACCCACTTGTAAAGCAACTGAATTACAGAAAGAGGATGGCTCTTATTCTGAAATGGTTCAAAGCAGTTCTTCCTCAGTTAAGAGAAAAGCCAAAAGTGACCAAGAAACCATGTCTGCAGATGCCTAAGCTCAGGGTGCATGTGTGGGGTGAACATTTATGTGCCAGGTGTCTACCAAGTGCAGGGTATGTGAGGCATCGTGCAACAAACAAATGATCCTTACAAGAGCCCACCTTCTCTCTGCTAGTGAACGGTCAGCTTGGAACTTTGACCCATATCTTTTAACTGTTGCCTCTCTGTTTATTCCTTTTCAATATTTACTTTTTCTGGGAGGAGAGAAGATTAAAGGAAATTTAAAGATGTGATTCTGGCCTTCCAAGAGATGACTCATAGAGAAATGGCTCTGGAACAACCGGAAGTAGCCCATGAGCCAGGGTGAAGGAATATAATGTGGATTAAAGCACCAGTCAACAGTAGAGGGTTAAACACATGTGTTCTGAATGTACACAGTTCATCTAGAAGGATGTCATAAATGGGTGTGAGTTTTGAGTCAGGGTCTAAAAATTATGAATGACTGTTTTCAACCTCATCTACCACAAGTGTTTAATTATGTTGCTATACTTCCATCAGCCTACCTCTGTGACTATTGGACTGAGAGTTGAAAATGTATTTTTCTTATCCTTGAAAATATGATGTGTTGGAAATTGCTGACAGGCGTGATCATGTTTTGACTGAAAAACCAGGTGGTTTGGTTTGGGGCCTGATTTCAGATGTTTGCTAACTAGAGCCTTAACACATTTCTTTTCCTTATTATTTCAGAGAGTACTACAAAGCTGGGAGACAGTGCTATTAACAGTTATCAAGTTCTGTATAAGGCTTACTAGTATGGAGACAAGTAAACCAGGCGTAAGTGGTAGGCATTTGAAGCAACTTTAACAACTAAAATATGAACTCATTTCTGGCCCTAGGAACAATCGCTAAGAACAGAAATCCAGTAGCTACTAGTGTGAAGAATCCTCAGAGGTTGGTTGAATGAGAAATTTCTTAATGTCAATTACTAGAGTGGGTGAGCAGCTAGAGAAGGAGGGATATGGAAAGAGATCTGGTTTTACATGTTACTAACAGGTTGGCTTTATCACTCCATACTTTACTATTCTTTACACAATTAAAATAATACAATGTATTTGTACGTGAAATGTATACAAAAGCACTTTGTCATTTGAAAAAAATTCTACGTCACAAGATACTATTATATTCATGCCCTAAGTCCTTGGTATACAGTTCCAGGTCAGTGAGACTCACATATGCTTATAAAAGTTCAAATATGTTCTTACATATTTATAATTACTGTCTTAGTCCATTTGGGCTGCTAAAACAAAATGCCATAAATTGGGCGGCTTATAAACAACAGAAAATTATTGCTCTCAATGCTAGAGGCTAGAAGTCCAAATCAAGATGCTGGCAGAGTCAGTGCCTGGTGAACCCTGCTTCCTCAGAGATGAAGTCTTCTTGCTGTATCCTCACTTTAAAAGGAACAAGGGTCTCTCTGGGGGTCGTTTTTTGTAAGAGCTCCAATCCCATTCACAGGGCCTCTGTCTTCAGGAACTAATTACTTCCTAAAGGCTCCACTTCCTGATATCATCACCTTAGAAGTCAGGATTTTAACATATGAATCTGGAGGTGGGACACACACCTTCAAACCATAGCAATTACTAATAACCATAATCCAGGAATAACATATAATTTAAAATAACGGAACAATATTGACAGAAGTTTTTTTTTTTTTTTTTTTTTGAGACCGAGCCTCACTCTGTCGCCAGGCTGAAGTGAGGTGACACAATCTCAGTTCACTGCAACCTCCACCTCCTAGGTTCAAGCGATTCTCCTGCCTCAGCCTCGAGAGTACCTGGGATTACAGACACACACCACCACATCAGCTAATTTTTGCATTTTTAGTAGAAACTGGGTTTCACCATGTTGGCCAGATGGTCTTGACCTCCTGACCTTGTGATCCACCCGCCTCGGCCTCCCAAAGTGCTGGGATTACAGGCCTAAGCCACTGCACCCAGCCAACGGTAAAAATATTTTAAAATCTCTATACAAATTTCTAATTGGTTATCACTGCCCTAGGAAATAATTGTTATTCACAACTGAACAATCCAATTCAATGACCCTGAAAGCATGATACTCAAAGAATCTAAGTCATGGAAATGTAAAAGTCTCCCAATCCTCTTTGTTTTTATATTCCCTCAATGGCATCACTAACATGGCTGTGTGGCATTGGTGAGTGGCGTGGCTGTTCTGCACCACTGCAACACACCTATAACTCATCCTCATCAGACAGTGCTTTGCCTCCCTTGGGACAGAATGAGAAAACGGTTGCTATGTCATTCATATCTGTTGTTACGACCCTAGGGTGTCGCAGACAAAAGAGCTAGATTAGCCCCCATTTCTGACGTCTTTTAAGGGGAATGATAATATTCAAAGATAAACCCGTTTTTCCTATTTGTTTTTAACAAAGTCGCATTCAGCTTTCAGTTACTAAGCCAGGTGCAGAATGCTGAGGAACGCTTCCACCTCGTGTTGTTGTTGAAGGCCGCAGATCTGGGAAGCAGTACCAGTGAAATCTATTTTGTTTGGAAGCAGCAGTGCTAATACATCAATCTTGACCGACCTCCCTTGCTCTTCTCGGATCCCAGCCCCCATACCTGCTGTTCTGTGAATTCCGTTTAACCCTAATTAACCAGAATATGAAGGCTGTGTCCTCACTGACCAGGCAGTGAGGGCAGTAATTTGACGTGGAACATCAGGCCCAGCCTTCCAGGCTGGTAGCGCAGAGTGATGCCTGATCTCAGTCATCCTGCCTGCAATCAGCCAGGTTTAGGAGCAGCAAGTAGGCCACGCAGAATCGAGAGCCAGCAGACTGGGGTGGAGGGGATTTGCTCAAACATACTTATCAGGGTTTTCTGCCTTAGAAAGAAAAGCAAAGACCTATAGGAATGAAAGAATAACCAACTGAAGGAAAGGTTGCCCATAGCTGGTGAAGAGACCTGGGGGTGTGGCCTAATGGAAGCTTTTGAACAGAGGGTTAATAATTTTCTTAAGATTTAGGAGAATTTTAAACAGAAAAAATTGACCAATTTGATCTTTTTAGTCTGCATTTCTTATAGTTGTCATCACCAGTTTATTTTTATAGCATATCTCATATAAGAAATATCCAAGTGGAGTGGAGAACTGAAAGTCCCAGGAGAATACTGGGAGAGGAAGAGCTGAGAAAGCCAAATGCCCTGAGATTTCTGTCTGGGGGTGGGTCATGGCTCTGAGGACCAACCTCCCCAGACAGAAGTCTCCAAGCTAAAGGGGCATGGAAGCTTTAAGAGAAGTCTGGGGTGCAAGAAACTGCCAACCCTGTCCTGTAAACCAGTTTGCCTTACAAGTGAAAAATATCAACAGCTGTGACAGGGACACACTCGTAGAGAAATGCTACTGTACTAAGAATCCAGCTCACTTTCTCTCCCCCGCCAATCCAGCCAAGCATGCAGCAGGCATGCAACCAAGATAGCTGCTGCTTCCCATCCTACCTCGTCCCCTCTGACAGTTCCACAATAACCTGTGCACACTCTCTGACGCTCTTACTTCCCTAGGTCACGCCTTCCCGTGGAAGGGGAAGCAATAACAAAGGTGAAAATCGTGGCGGTAACAGAAGCCATTTACAGTGCTGAGTCTCCAGCCCATAATCACTGGGCATCCAATGGTTTCAAGGGATGATTCATTCTTG